TTCATGATAGCAGTCTCTAGAGGTATGACTGAGTGGAGCTGGGACTGGGAATCGGGACAAAGGCATCCTCAACTTCATTCTCTTGTTTCCGTTATAGGAAAAAAATAGAAATATGGAAAGGGTTTTAAGCTGTCAAGTTACCTGTTAATTCTACCTGACAGTTTACAGAGTGTAATAGTCTTTGTAGTATTCTTTTTTGTGTAATTTCTCAAAATGAAAAAATAATAGTATCTTTCATCATTTAGTCTAAGACTTATTTATTGTTTAGGTATTTAATGTTCCTGTTTGTTTTAAGAAAAATATATATAAATATAGCTGAGCTAGCCATTTCCTTTTGTTGTTGTTTATGTTCACATACTCATTTTATTTATTCTGATGTGGCTTTTATGTAAACATGTGAGGAGTGAATCATAAGGCTTCACAGTCTTAACACAGTCTGTATATTAACAACACATTTCCTTGATAGCTGTCCTCACGCACCTCAACCACTAGAAGCATCCACTTGTACTGGAGCCAAAATACATCCAGAGAAACATGATGTTAGAAAGGTTTTCTTCTCTCTTAGAGCTAGGGATTTTGAACATTTTTCATGTATTTGTTTACCACCTGAATGTCTTCTTTGGTGAAGTGTCTGTTCATATCCTGTGCCCATTTTTCGATTGGATTGTTTACATTTATCTTGTTCTGGAGCTCAAGTATTTTATAAATTCTAGATATAAGTCCCTTCTCTGACATGTCATTACCAAATACTATTTCCCAGTTTATGGCTTCCCTTTTTACCCTGTTGGAGAAGATTTTGGTTCTGCACAGGGATTTGATTCTTAGAAGGTCCCATTCATCTATTTTATCCTCTCCTGGTTGTAGATTTTTCAGGATGCTTTGGAAGACTGTTTATGTTGTGCATTAGGACTTCTAGAGTTCTTCCAAGCTATGAGATATCATCTCATCCCAGTAAGAATAGCAAAATGTAACAGAACAGCAAGCAACAAATGCTGGTGAGGTTGTGGAGAAACAGGAACCATTATTCACTGTTAGTGGAAATGTAAAATGATGCAACCACTATGGAAGGCAGTATGGTACTTTCTCAAAAAGTTGAGAATAGAAATACCATTTGACCCAGATATTCCACTACTAGGAATATACCCCAAAGAAACCATAACCGCCATCCAAGCAGATATATGCACACCCATGTTTATTGCAGCTTTGTTCACAATAGCAAAGAGTTGGAAACAACCTAAGTGCTCATCAACAAACTAATGGATAGAGAAGCTCTAATATATTCACACAATGGAATACTATGCTGCATTGAAAAAAAAGGAACTCATGAAATATTATTCAAAATGGGTGACCCTGGAGGACATTATGCTAAGTGAAATATCTCAGTCACAAAAGGACAAATACTGCATAGTGCCACTGTAGTAAAACGGGACTGACATCAGAGTTGTGGGGAGACTGGGAAAGATGGGATAAATTGTGTATACTGCATTGAAACAGATGAGGGAGAAAACAGTTTAAAAAGGATATATGTTTAGGTATTATTGTCATGACAGGAGTCCAGAAAGAAGGCTGCATAGAGCAGTGGACTTGGGGGAGGGATTGTATAAAAATGAAAGAATTTTTCTTTTACTTTTCAAAGAGAAGAGCAAACTGAGAGTGAGGGGTGGGCAGGGAGAAAAGTGCAACAATGGATGAATGGAAATCCAAAGTCTATGTAAATTTTCATTAAAATTAATAATCATTTTTAAAAAAGAAAAGTTTTCTTTTCTGGTGCTAAAGATTTGTTAGGGCTTGATTTATAAGACTAAAGCCACCTATATTTATTTAGTGCTCTCAAGCATATTGATCTCTCCAAACTACTGAGGAGCAAATGATGTGAGTTTGAAGACTGAGGTGCACTTGGTTCAGGCAATGGTCTTTCAATCACTTACTATATGTCTGAAAGCTGGACAGTGAATAAAGATGACAGAAGAATTGCCACCTCTGAGTTATAGTGCTGGGAAAGAGCATTGAATATCCCATGGACTGCCAAAAAAACCAAAGATGTGTTGGAGAAGGGGCAGCCAGAGGGCTTCGTCGAGGCAAAGACAGTAAAGCTTAATCTCACGCACTTTAGGCATGTTCTTAGGAGCGTCTATTCCTTGGAGAGAGGGACATCATGCTTAGAAAGGTCGGCAAAAGAGAGGAAGACCTTCAACCATGTGTATTGACACTGTGACAATAACCATGTGCTCATGTCAGAATGGCACAGATAGGACAGGGTTCCAATACTCGACAGCACCTAACAACAGCAACAACAGGCATATCTCAACCATGTTTCCTCTGTAAGGCAGTTAAGGAATCTACCTCTTGCATTAAAACTCCCCTGAGCATACAAGCTCTAATTTGGTGAGTAGGGGGACACTCTACCTCTGTATTTATGAAAGAAAAGCAGACAGATGGGTTGACCACCTTGTCAAAGTTTGTACTTTAACAGACATATTATAGCTATTCATTTTTGAGCTGTTTGTCTAGCAATATTTTTAAGTGCTTCCAAGATGATTGCTGTAACTGTGTTAGAAAGCTTAAATGTTGACTTAAAACAGACAAAATATACAACTAAGGAGCTTTGTTGGTCTAGTGGTAAGAAACTGTGCTGCAATACCCAATACACACACTTTGAATCCACCAGCAGCTGCTCCATGGGAGAAGGATGGACAGTCTCCTCCAGTGCGATTTACTGTCTCTTAAAACCCACTGTAGGATCAGCTATTAGTCTACAAGGCTTGACATTGCATTATCAGTTGGGCTGTTAACCAAAAAGTCAGTGGTTTGAATTCACCAGCCTCTCCATGAGTGAAAGTTAGGCATTCCCTTCTCGTAAAGGTTTTCATCCTCAGAAACCCAATGGATAGAAACCCAATGAGTGGAATTGACTTGATGGCAGTGGGTTTGGGGTTTCAATGTGAGCAGGTGGGGAGTGAAGCGGGGAACCTCCTTCCTTACCCAGGAGTTCCTGGTCTTCAACTGTAATAGCCTGCTCGCTGCAAGCACTTCATTTACTCCTTTCTGCTAGTAGATGAAGGAGTGACTTATCTGAAGAAAGCATGCCTTCTTTAAAATCATTCATGATCCTTCCTGGTATGTGTCACAAGAAAACCCCTTGGTTTTAGAGTCAGCCTGCCCATGTATGTCCTCATTGCTAAGGGTTGTCAAATCAGCAACCCATTATATCCCTGCAAACTGCTCTGCCTTGTTGAGGGAGGTCAAGAGGTTGTCCAGCAAGATCGGTGATGAAAGGCTAAGTATTTCTATATTTTTTTTTAAAGTAAAAAAATGTTGCCAGCAAGTTAATTATGATTATAACTCATGGCAATATTGTGAGCAGTAGAGGAAGGCTGTGCTGCAAAGGGCTTTTCAGCATCTGTAATCTTGTGGAAGCAGACATCCAGGCCTTTCTTCCACAGTGCCTCTGGGTAGATTACAACCTCCCACCTTCCATTTTGTAGACCAGCACAAACCACTTGGACCACCAAGAAATCCCTTTTTCTAATCAGAAATCTCCCTTTTGCAGATTATTTAAAGCCTTGCTATTTACAGTCAACTCTGTCTATAATTAAGCAGTATTTTTATCTCCATGTGCCTACCCTCTATCACTCTACTGACTCCAAACTCAAGAACAAAGAATAGATGTTATTTATTGCTCCCTCAAAACCTCATGAGCAATAACTATAAGACATGGTGGTGGTGGTTAGGTGTCATCAAGTCAGCTACAACCCATAGAGAAAATAGATCTGAACACTGGCCTGTCCTGTGCCATCCTCATACCATCTCTGATATGCTTGTCCCCATTGTTACAGTCATTGTGTCGGTTCATCTTGTTGAAGGCCTTCCTGTCTTTCTCTAACCTTCCACCTTTCCCAGCGTAGTGTGTTTTTCCAAGCAAGGTCTCTCCTGACAACATACCCAAAGTATATGAAATGAAACCTCACCATTCTTGACTCTAAGGAGCACCCTGGGTGCACTTCTTCCAAGATAAACACATCTGTTCTTTTGGGAGCCCATGAAATATTCAGCATCCTTCTCTAGTACCACAATTCAAAGACATCAATTCTTCTGTCATTCCCATTCAACATCCAACTTGCAGATGCATATCAAGTAATTGAGAAGGCCATGGCTTGAGTCAGACACACCTGGGTCTTTAAACTGAATTCTTTGCTCTTTAGAACTTTAGAGAGATACTTAACAGCAGATTTTTCCAGTACAACATGTCTTTTGATTTCTTGACTGCTATTACCATAGATATTGACTGTGAATCTAAGTAAAATGAAATCATTGACAACTTCAAAACTTTTCTCCATCTATTACAATGTTGCCTATTGGTTCTGTGGTGAGGATTGTTCATAAGACTTTAAGATAATGAATTAAAGTAACCTATATGCAAGCCAACCAATAAATTGGACAGCAGAATTATTCTTATCCACGTAGTTCTCCTTTCTGAAGGCTTTCCTTTGCTCATGTTGTTTTAGCTCTCATAGATGGGGTTTTATTTGAACTATAGTTCATGCCAGGTATGAATTCTCCCCTTTTGAGATAGACTTGATTAACACGTGCATTTTATAAGCCATTATATTAGCTACATAGATATAATTACACAACAGGCCATGTATTTCTTTAATCCAAACCTAACAGCAAAACAAAACAGAAAACCCACCCGCTGTAACAGAACACTGTTCTGCATATGGCCAGCCGCGTGCTGGCTCAGCTCAGTGATTTTAGGGATGAATTAGTGTTCTAATCTCTTTGGGATTTCCTTTATATTTGTGGTGGTTTATGATTGACACTTAATGTAACTATGGCTTTCTGTTTATGTTTAATAAAAGATTCATTTCTGCAGCAGGATACACACTTGTGCGCCAGTGTTGAATAAAAGCTACTGTTCTGTGAGAAGAGTATAAAATGCTGATTTATAATGACACGTTCCAATAACAGCGATGTAATGCTTCCAAACGCTTTCTTCTCAGGTCCTGAGCACAGCATGGGCCCAGCAAAGGATGGTTCTTCTTTTCCAGAATACTCAGACTTCAACACGTCTTTCCATGCTGCAATTCGATATAAAAACTGGAAACTTCTGACGGGCTATCCAGGTAGGTTGCTTAGCTTAACCAACCCTTGTCCTGTGACAGGCGAGGCAAGCCATGGACTCTAGGAAAAACCTCAGTCTATCCTGGCTCCTGGGTTTCTGTGCCCTTGGTCATTATCTGGGAAATGAGAATATTATCACTATTGTTCCGTGTCCCATCCCGTTACCTCTTTTCCATCCTGTCCTACCTGACTGCTCCATTCTAGGTCCCACCACACAAGTTGTCTTTCTTTTCCTGGCCTCTGCTGCTATGTGTCATGAGAGAACAGCTATACATTTATGATTTTCATTTCCTCCTTTTAAGAGTCACCTTGTTTCCAGTCACACAGGGGATGAACGGTCCCCCTTCACTACAGGTTTCTCCCCTGAACACCAAGAGGAGCTAATAGAGTAGCAACTGCCTTTTTCAAAACATTACTGAGGCTGCTGACTGAGGAGCTTGGGTTGAATTTACTGGGCCTGAAGCCCGCAGATGTGAACTATTTGTAGGGGATGCTACCTAGGTATAATTACACAACAGACCATGTATTTCTTTAGTCCAAACCTAACAGCAAAACAAAACAGAAAACCCACCCGCTGTAACAGAACACTGTGTACCATCAAGTTGGAACCAACTCATAGCTGATCCTCCAGAACTTGTCAGAGGCTATAAATCACACAAGAGGAAATTGCCCATCTTTCTTCTGCAGAGCAGCTAGTGGATTCGAATTTTTTAGTTGACAGCACAACTTCTGACCCCGAAAGCCACCAGTGCTTCCTTTGAAGGGCATTAAAAGAAAGAATTCCACTCTGGTGCTCTGTGGAAAATGAGGTGGTCTTATGTCTGTCTCTCCAGGCACAGCAAACCTGGGAGCAAAGAGAACCTCTAAGAGCTGCACCCTCAGTCAGTGGTACATTTATGGGAGGAGGAGTCTCCTGAGCACATTCTCTGAAAGTGACAATCTTCCAGTACTTATAAAATACACAGTGTGATGATTATGGCCGCATTGTAATTAAGCAGCGCTTTTAATGATGATGCTCTTGGCATCTGGGTTGAGACAGATTTAATTGTCTGGGATCACTCATGCACCCAGAACACTTTTATCAGCCATAATACCTAACCATTAAAAATACCAGGAACACCCCTAGTGACTGTGGTATTTCATCACTACCACCCCTCAACACACACCCACTCACTTTCCTGGGAGCTCCTTCCTGGTTGCAAAGTTCTGAGGCATAAACAGTTAAAGCCCCAGAGATAGGAGTTTGAGAAAGATCTGGAAATGGTTATCAAAGGGCATTATCAGCCAGCTCAGCCTTGACCTCCCTACCCCCTTCCTGAAGTTAGGACCCGCCTATGATGCTTCTCTCCCATCACATTGTTTTATGTCTTTGCCAGGCTGTGGCTACTGGTTCCCACCACCGTCTCAATCCAATGTTTCCGAGATACCATCGTTGGACTCACCCACCAAAACGCTCTGGCTCTTTGATATTGATCAGGATCCTGAAGAAAGACACGATCTATCAAAAGAACGTCCTCATATCGTCCAGCATCTCCTTTCCCGGCTGCAGTTCTACCACAAACACTCAGTGCCCGTGTACTACCCCAAGCAAGATCCCCGCTGTGACCCAGAAGCCACCGGTGCTTGGGGGCCATGGATGTAGCGAGTTAGGAGAAGGCCAGGAAACCTTCCTAACGCCTAACCTCAGGTCTTCACTCCCGTGACTAACCTCAGGTCTTCACTCACATGACTCTCCTCTCATTTGTTCTTCCAGCTTGGGTTCACCTGACCCTTCTCTCACTCCTAAACCACAATGAGGTTTCTCATTTCAACTCCTAACACATTTAAGAAGCTGCTAAAATCTGGAACAACCCTGTTATGTGGAGGATGGCTGGGTTCATCCCCTTGTTCCTGAGCTACGGGACAGCTGGGAACTTGACCTGAAGTAGGACGTTCTGATGGAGTCCCAGAGGCCAGAGCAGCTTGCTCTTTTTGCCTCACAAGTCAAACATTAGATTTCTTTTCTAACAGTAGCTGGGTTTTATTGGAGCAATTTATTTCTCGTAACAAATGAAGGGAGCAGACAGTTGGTAATGGTTCTGTTGGCCAAGGCCTCTCTGTGTGTGTGTGAGAAATTATGTTGAGACATTCCATGGGATAGCCAGTCTTGGTTCCCCTCACTCCCACATTCTGTCTGGCATATTAGCATAAGGTTCATTTCATTGTTAAGGTCAACATAGCAATGTGTCTATACCTCAGTATTAGTTTTTACAATAAAGAAATGGCTTTTTAATCACAAATTGCTTTCTCCCAGCCATTGCTTGTTTTATCTAGGCTTCTTGCTACCCACAACCCCTTGCGTCTCTTGTGCTACTTTTCCCTTTGTGTCACCCTTGAGTGCCACTATTTAAAGAATCCTGCTTAACCCTGCCTTCCTTTTGCCCCCAGTAAAGTGTGGGTTTATGGTACAAACCCTGTTACTGAATCTGGCACCCTGCCCAAAGGTCTGGTTCTCTGGAAATGCTTGGGTTGGACTCAGAGATGGCTGGGCAGTGATGCGTGGGTCTGTGTCCTTATTCAGTGAGGTTATTTCTAAGCTACATGGGGTCTGTAGCATACTTATGGCTTCATTTCATAATATATTAAGAGTAATTACTACTCCTTAGCAATGAGGAAAAACGGCAGAACAATGCTGTCCAGAAACGGTGGAAATGGGCAGTATGAAGAAAGAACTAATCAGAATCCTGGGCCTTGTGGGGAGGCAATGGAGGTCACATGCGTATCATTATTTCTCTATTTTCCTGCTTTATCCTCTGGTTCTCAAATTGAAGGAAAGTATGCAGAGTTTGAAATGTCAACCCTTTCTCAGTAGAGGAGGATTATTCTATTATTAACATATTGTTGTGTGCTGTCTACTTGCCTGTGAGTCATGTACTAACAGCTCTGAAGCCTACCCTATCCTGAGCCAGTCCTACTGACTCGGACACACCTATGCCTATTGCATCAGTAATTCTATCAATCTATTTCATCTAGGATCTTCCTTCTGAGCATGATGTCCTTCTCCAAGGACTAGTCCCTTCTGGCCATGTGCCCAAAGTATGTGAGATGGAGCTGCAGAATCCTAGCCTCCTAGGAGATAGATCAATCTAAAGTAACTCCAGAGAATGTCAGCATTAGAGAAGTATGTGCAAAAGCTGTGCTCCACTACTTCCTGCATTAACCCTACTGTCTTGTTCACTGCTTGTCACCAAGTTCTAGATCAATGCCTGGCACCTAGAAGACACTCACTACTTGTTTTGTTTTGTTTTGTTTTAATGAACCAATGGACAAGTGACTAAATGAAAAAATCTTACACCATGAAAGATGCTCAACCAGTGAAGTCAATGCAGTATCCTGCAGCTGACATGTCACTGACCTCAAGCTGTCCACTTGGGGCAGGAGCACAGTCTGCACAGCTGGTAAGTCACAGGCTGTTTCCACGGGACAGAGGGAAAGAAAATAAGCCTAACCTCTAACTCACTGCCTTTAAGTCAGTTCTAACTCACAGCAGCCCTACAGACCTAGGAGGGGTAATCTTTTCCCCCCTTTCCACTTTGAGGAAAAGACCGAGATTCCTCAGTTCTGTTTTTCAGAACTCTGTTTTTTTATCAACTATTCCTCAGTTCTCTTTTGTAGAGATTATTGTATAGCAATTGGCTAACTCAAAGGACTAGTCCTCATTACTCATAACTATGCCCATTCCAAAGAAAGGTGATCTAAAACAATGTGGGTCTTATCTGCAAGTATAATTAATATTTTGCTGAGGACAATTTAAAAAACAATTGCAGCAGTGCATCAACAGGGTAACTGTCAGAAATTCAGGCTTTGTCCAGAAAAGAACATGAAATGAGGGATATCATTGCTGATGTCACTCGGAACTTGACTGGAAATATATAACGCTAGGAAGATGTTAACATATTTTATTGACTATTCAAAGGCAAAAGACTATGTGGCTCATTGCAAACTACAGATAGCATTGTAAAGGATGAGAATTCCAGCATACTTAATTTTGTCCTTGCAGAATCTGTACATAGACTCTCAGATCATGTGAGCACAGTGAAAGAAAACGGCATAGTTTGCAACCAAGTAAGGTAATGGGATCAGGGTCGTATCCATTCGCCATGCTTATTTAACCTCCATGTTAAACAGAAAATTCGAGAAGCTCTACTGTATGAAGAAGGGCACGGCAAGAGAATTAGAGGAAGACTTATTAACTACTCATTATTATGTGCAGATGGTACGATCTTGCTTGTTGAAGGAAAAGAGGCCTTGACGTGTTTACCAGTAAGGATCAATAACTACAGCCTTTAGTGAGGATTACACTCAAATCACTCTCAAACTCATTTCCCTGGAGCTGAACCCAACTCAGGACCGACCTTCCAGTGAATCTCTGGGAGGATATAAATCACACAGGAGGAGAGTGCCCATCTGTCACCTGGGAAGCCACTGGTGGAACTGAACCACTAGAGAGGCACTTGGCATCACAATTCCTTATAGATTCAGCAAATCTTGACAACTAGACCAATAAAAAAATTCATGAAAAACAGAAAAAATGTTGACATTGTCAAAGATTGAATTTTACTTGGATTCACCATCAGCACAATAGAAGCAACAGTCAGGAAATGAAAAGACATGTAACATTGAGTCCATTAGCTGCAAAAAGACTTTTAAAAAGTGTTATAAAGAAGGATCTTCCTTCTGAGCATGATGTTATAAAGAAGAGATGTCACTTGAGGGCTAAGGTGTACCTGACCCAAGCCATAGAATTTTAAACTGCCTCATGTGCTTGTGAAAGCTGATCAATAAATAAGGAAAACCGAAAAGTAGTGTATTTGAATTATGATATTGGTAAAGAATATCAAATGTACTTCGGACTATCAGAAGAATGAACAAATTTGTCTTAGAAGAATTGCAGTCAGAATGCTCCTGAGAAGCAAGAATAACAAGAGTTTGTCTCATGCACGTTGAACATACGAAAAACCCAGGAGAGATGTCACTGGGGAAGGACGTAAACACTGGTAAAATAAAGGGGGAAAATGGGAAAGACCCTCGGCAAGGTGGATTAACCTAGTGACTGTAGCAATAGACTCAAGCATAGGAATGACTCTGAGGATAGTCCAAGGCCAGCCAGTGTTTTGTTCTATTGTATATAGGTCACAATGGGTTGGAATTGATTCAGTGTTGCCTAACGACTATAATAAATAACCTATACTTTAAGATTCCTGGAACTAAAGGGTGCTCTAATGATACCTATTAATTTACATTTGTTGTTGTTGTTGTTGTTGTTATGTGCCGTCGAGTCATTTCCGACTCATAGCAACCCTATGCACAACAGCCCTAAACCCTGCTCTGTCCTGCGCCAACCGCACCGCCTCTGACACA